TATTCTTAGCGCACGGGGTCTGTTTTATATTTTGTAATGTCATATTTAAACACAACATATCAATTTGACCAAAATTGTATACGTAGCCTATAAGAAAAATATAGTAATTAATGATATAGCGCGCGACGATTGGACATATTTTACGATATCAAATAGTGCAAAAATAAAACCACGTTATAGTCTATATCGAAGGAATGTTGACGAACATAGCCTGTATATAAAATCGAGTATGTGGTTGCATACATAATGTTTGTAGGCCTACGTCATTGGAATCGGGTTAGGTCTCATGCACGGTCTGTGAAATATATTTGTCGAATGTGTAACTATAATATATGAGTGTGTAATATATTAATTATTGTATCATATTTTTTGAATGCGCTGGTCGAATGTGTAAATTAAGGCGGCAAATAGAAAGCCAAGCACGGTTTACACAAGGGTCAGTGACAGTGGAATATTAGCGCACAAAGTCTTTGGGATATATTTGTCGAATATTGAAAGCAAGTTGAATGTCATTACCAATACATATGGGATCGAATATGTCGTTGTTTAATTTAATCATCACTAATTATAAATAACATAAATGATTTTTTTTTAACTCCGCCGGAAAACATCGTCCTTAGATCTTTGCATGGATTATCCTTGAAATTCGGCACGAAAATTGTATACGGCACCTGATCCTTTGATGTATATGCTGTCCTTGAAGGTATTTGGGAAATTTCTCTAGTTGAAGCAAGGAAAGAGCTTGATAACTTTGTGCTTTTCGAAGACATATCTCGTCTATATTTCTCTGGCGACACACTTTAAATAATTAATTGATTAAAACCATATTATATACAAATAAAAAACTTTTTTTAAATTATAAAGTTGGCGGTAAAATAAATCGATTTCGCTGTAACACAGCCTCTTCAGTACTCCACCATCTTGTTTTTAAATTATTATGTACTTCATGTAGTTAAAATAGCACGTTGAAACTTTATGTAACCGTCAACTTAGTGTCTCACTCTTCACTCTATTACTACCCGGGGAATTTTAAAATAATTCCACTCGGTTTTTGAGTCATACCTAATTTTAAGAATTTTTTATCACTGCACATTTTTGCCCGGAGTTTAGCCGAGCAGAAGCACGCCCTGAAAATTTCTGAACACACCTTTATAATAAATGTGTAACCACAAAACAGGCTACAATTGATATTCAAAAATGCCAAAACCAACATACACTACATTGTACAGCACCCAGGGTTGCCCAGGGGAATTTGAGTAGCCAGGGTCAAATTTGATTTGGGACCCCTCGTGATTCCATCTTCTAACATGACTATGATTAGGGGGTCCAGGGGCATTCTCCCCAGGAAAATTTTGAAATATGAGGTCCCAGAAATGGCCAAATCCTGCATTCTGGAAGTCTGTTGACAGTTATATCTACATATATTTTACTGTAATTCTTTTTTGGGCCCCCTTTAACTGAGGTCCCAGGAAAAATTGGCCCAACCACCCTTATGGGCGGCCTTGACAGGACGTACAGTTACAACTATCTAGGACAGCATAGTTTCATAATCAAACGCTTGCAGGAAAGAACTATTTTCATATTGGCAAAATGAAAGGCAGCTTAGAAGTGACAAACCACCGATTTTGTAATCTAGGCTCTCTAAAAGGGAATTTCGTGCAATGTGCGGAAACATTCTATAGAATTCTGAAGATTACAGTACACACTAATTACAAAAAGATAAGTATCATTCACTTCATCATCCAAGCTCATAAAGAGATCTTTGGTGAGACTTTGTTCATCTGATGAACCTGAAGTCAGGGCCGTAGGAAGCTCTTTTCGATCGGAGGGGGTGGGGGGGGGGAGTGAAAGCGAGGGGTGACGGCCCGAGGAAATTTTTTAATTTAGAGTCTCTGAAATGCCGTTTCCTGCACGTTGGAGAATATTTGACAGAATTCTGATAGTCAGAAAACAGCGTTTTTAGTATGTCGAAATTTACAATTTAGTAGTACTAAATGGGCGAAGGCGTATTTAATTAACTATATATTGGATAAGTTGCAGGAAAGCATGGGTAATATCTTCATTCTTTGCAGTTTGTCACGGATTAAATGATAAAGGTCTGCATGATTTTGAAAAAAAGAATGATTATTAGCAAATTATTTGGGGGGGGGGCTGCAGCCCCCCCCATTAGTGCACGCACGTTCGATAATTTCGCAGCTATCATTTCAATTACATTCAAATTATTCTCATTCAAAATGTTTTGATGAATACTGTCAAGTGTCAAGACGAATTTTTAGTTCAGTTCTTCTGCTCATTGCTCATTTTCGTGTTAACAACTTTTCACAGGAAATTTTATCACTGCACATTTTATCACTGCACATTTTAGTTTTATCACTGCACATATTGGTTATCACTGCACACTAAAATTAAGTATGTTTTGAGTTCATCAATTCGCCTTTCTTTATCTTGTTCATTTTCACACTCTCCGATATCTGTCTCAACATCGCATTGTTGCCATAACCCCCTGTCATATTCATCTGAAATGTTTGCACCTCACCATTATGCTTTTGCTTACAATGTTTCCATAGAGTAGATTGTTCCTGTTTCCTTTCATACATCTTGATATGTTCCCCTCCTCTGACATACGCACTTCTTGACGTTTCGCCCACATAAACATTATTACAGGTATTACATCGTATATTGTAAGTCACTCTATGTCCACCACAAGGTCCTTTTTACCCCCGTTGTACACACTCTTGCCACAGTTCTCTAGCTTGAACGGATCTAATCGTTGTAACATCCTCTTCAATGTGTTGCCTGCCTTCTCAACTACCTTGATGTTGAAACCTAGGTTTCTGATCTCCTGTTGATATTCTCTTTGTAGTTGCGATCTTAGCTTGGTGTAGCTGGAACAAAAATTACTGATTCGTTTCCTCTTTTTGCATACCAATTTTTCTTTTTCCTGATTTTCTCCTTCGTTCTCTCCTCATTATTCCACCCCTTTGGTCTATGCATTGGTCGTTCCCCACTTTTATTAGCTTCTTTTCGTACTCTATATGCATTCAACGCAGACGCTACAACCTCATATCTAAACTTCTTGTCATAACCAGAATATTGCATGCGTAGTAAAAAGTCTTCGACCTTTTTCACTACTTTCTCCCATGGTAAAATTCTGCTGCAATTCATCATCACTCGTAGCATTTCTTGGGTCAAAACAGTCCTCTTGGTACATCACGGTAGTGCTGACCTCGCATTCACTAATGCTTTCGATGCCACCTCCTTTGCATAAAACTCATACATTATAACCGACGTAGTTCTTGTTACCCCTTCGACTTCTTTTTCCTGATCTTCTATCCATACTTTCATGTCCAGAATCGGTAATTTCTGGTCAAAGTGTTTTGATGGATAGTCTATTTCCAGTAGCGTAGCCAGCCCGACAATTTGGTCATGCTATGCAAATTTCAAACCATTATCATTATTCATTTCTTTAGAAATTGATTGTTTTCACGGTTTATGAACACAGAAATATATTTGCATAGCATGACCAAATTGTCGGGCTGGCTACGCCACTGTCTATTTTTAATTCTACAGAATGATGAATATCATCGCCCACCTTCTTGATTATCTTCATTGTCCTTTCATCATCTTTGACCCTTTCCTCTTCCCTTATCATACTTTGGTCCACATAGTTCTGTCCATTTTTATATTTTAACACCGGTGTTGTTGCCTCTGCCGCAATGTTAATATCATCTACATACCGTTCATTCAACCTCTGGATGACACCAACTTGCAATAAGCGCCTGCTAAACTCCCTATCCCACCACATGAAAATCTGTACCAATATCCCTGTCAACCTTAGCCCAATTGCACCACCTTTATTCTAATTCCTGATTTCATTATCAAACAAATAGACATGATTTTTCATCACCACCTTCAGTGCAAGTCTAAGAGCTTCTGTCAGCATCGTATTTTTGGTGAATTCGTCTGGTTTCTTTCTAGGAGGATTCCATGGTTTAAGACGCTTCTCTTTCACTTCCTTACTGCCACTAGACTATCCATCAAAACACGTTGACAATTACCGATTCTGGACATGAAAGTATGGATAGAAGATCAGGTAAAGGAAATTTAAGGGGTAACAAGAACTACGTCAGGTATAATGTACGAGTATTACGCAAAGGAGGTGGCATCGAAAGCATTAGTGAATGCGAGGTCGGCACTACCGTGATGTACCAAGAGGACTGTTTTGACCCAAGAAGTGCTTCGAGTGATGATGAATTGCAGCAGAATTTTACCATGGGAGAAAGTAGTGAAAAAGGTCGAAGACTTTTTACTACGCATGCAATATTCTGGTTATGACAAGAAGTTTAGATATGAGGTTGTAGCCTCTGCGTTGAATGCATATAGAGTACGAAAAGAAGCTGATGAAAGTGGGGAACGACCAATGTATAGACCAAAGGGGTGGAATAAGAGGAGAGAACGAAGGAGAAAATAAGGAAAAAGAAAAATTGGTATGCAAAAGGAGGAAACGAATCAGTAATTTTTGTTCCAGCTACAAGATCGCAACTACAAAGAGAATATCAACGGGAAATCAGAAAGCTAGGTTTCAACATCAAGGTAGTTGAGAAGGCAGGCAACACATTGAAGAGGATGTTACAACGATCAGATCCATTCAAGCTAGAGAACTGTGGCAAGAGTGTGTACAACGGGGGGAAAAGGACCTTGTGGTGGACATAGAGTGATTTATAATATACGATGCAATACCTGTAATAATGTTTATGTGGACGAAACGTCAAGAAGTGCGTATGTCAGAGGAGGGGAACATGTCAAGATGTATGAAAGGAAAAAGGAACAATCTACTCTATGGAAACATTGTAAAGAAAAGCATGATGGTGAGGTGCAAACATTTCAGATGAAATATGACAGGGGGGTATGGCAATGATGCGATGTTGAGACAGATATCGGAGAGTGTGAAAATGAACAAGATAAAGAAAGGCGAATTGATGAACTCAAAAACCGAGTGGAATTATTTTAAAATTCCCCGGGTAGTAATAGAGTGAAGAATGAGACACTAAGTTGACGGTTACATAAAGTTTCAACGACGGTTACATAAAGTTTCAATTATTTTAAATACATGAAGTACATAATAATTTAAAAACATGATGGCGGAGTACTGAAGAGGCTGTGTTACAGCGAAATCGATTTATTTTACCGCCAACTTTATAACTAATTTTAAAAAAGTTTTTTATTTGTATATAACATGGTTTTAATCAATTAATTATTTAAAGTGTGTCGAAAGAGAAATATAGGCGATATGTCTTCGAAAAGCACAAAGTGTCCTTGAAGGCTTGAACAAGAACTCTTCGACTTGTGTTAAGTGTTCTTCGTACTGTCTGTATTTCGCCCTGTGAAGTATTTTGTTTCGTATACATATTAAAGACCTTGTACTGTTCTGTCTGTTCAGTGTGTGCAAATTATTTTTGACACATTAAAATACTTTGTAACTTCTTAGATCTGTTTATGCTTACTGAAAAATGCACGTAACAGTCGTTTACGTATTTTTGTCATATCTGATGTTTTGTATGTGCTTAAATGTGTGTATAATATTTCAACTGTGTCCAATTTACTTACTGTCGATGCAATGGAAGTGTTGATAAAATATTGCACGAATTCAAATTTCCTTTTACTTCCTGTGCGTTTCCTATTGGTCAATCGGTTCTGAAACGAAATCTAATTGGCTCATCTAATGATTACAGGAAGTTGATCAATTTTCTATCAAATGAATTGATCAACTTGAGGAAAGGAATTGGTGCAATATCAACACTTCCATTGCATCGACAGTAATACTTTCTTTCAGTAAATTCAGAATTTGACAATAGCGATCAAGGTGGAGTAATATAGGCAACAAAATTGCTGCAACTTGCAACAAATCTGATTTCTGCCCGTGTTAATTGAAAATGTTTACACATACATTACAAATCACGAGGCAACATGTGTCAACATTTCTACTTAATATGCGTTGAAATCAGATTTTGTTACAAGTTGTTGCAGCAATTTTGTTGCTCGTATTACTCCAGCTTTAGCAATGCAGGCTAGCCACATGTATGCAGCGCGTACCTATTTTTAAGAGATGGAATTGCTGACATTTTAGCACATCCAAGCTGCATAAGATGTAACTCTAAGTCATGAGAAATTAAAGATGAATGTTGGTTTTTCACAAAGCTAATTAGTTCAGTCGTTGAATAAGTAATTCGCCGCAGTGTAACTACAGACACAGACAAATTTCTTTCCACAGTTTTCTTTGTTTTACATTCGGTTTGCGAAACAGGCCCAGGATGAGGATGTACGTCTCCACACAGTAGGACAAATTCCTTGCACGAGAAACTGGCGATACACGGTGTCTCAGGTAGGCATAACATAAGCAAACCATGTTTTGTAGATTTTGCAATAACCAATTTGACACGATGCTGACGACGATTCCAGACTGTAAAAAAACCCCAAAGACACAACAGCAGGAGGATTGTTATTCTTGATCTCTACGTTATATAATTCAAATTCCGAAAACCAAGATAAAATAATTAAAAAAACTAAAGAAACTGAAGAGCTTGAACGGAGCACGTCCTGTCTGCATCACGAAAGAAAACCACAGAAAACCATGAAAACAACGTTGATAATTACTCAGATTCACCAAACATTTCGACACCGTCCCAATATAAACACGCAGCAGTTTCATATATTGCCAGGTATGTTGGAAAGAAAGTTAACTTAAAGAAAGCACTCACTGTAAAGAATGTGGTATGGCACTTGGTTCAGTAAGTGAAAAAGCATCTTCCAGCTTCTTAGTCTTGAAAGATTATGGCAAGCTTTTCAAACCAACGTCGAGTGTCATCAAAGTATGTGAAGAGACCGAAAAATGCTTTCAGCAAATATTGGCTGTCACAGATGGACAACTTCCTCATGCCCGTCGTATTCCTGATGCATTTGTTGTAGCAGTATTGGCTTCATTGTCCATACCCAGTCTTTTTACTGAACTAGATCGCCATCTTTTTGACTCACTAGTTGGTGAAAATCATGTTGTTCAGTTGATCAAGAGCATCATCAAGAATTTATGAAGACAAAAAATTAGAAAGAAATTAAATAAACTTGTACTTTTTAAGCACCAGTGATTACACAGAATATTCACTGTAAAACTGCCCAAGCTGAAAGAGTGCTCAGTCTGTCTCAAACATTTTACTAAATATTTACTGTGAAACTGCCTAAGCTGAAAGTGCAGACTCTGTCTCAAACTTTTACTAAAAATTTACAGTTAACAATTCCCAAGCTGAAAGTGCAGACTCTATCTTAAACATTTCACGGTATCAATTGCCTACGCTGATAGACTAAATGTTACTTATCAATTTTCGATTTGCATAAAGTGGTGCCAGAGACCGTAAGTACTGTACATGTATATTAGACGATATTTCACAATCGAATCACATTCACAGATTCAATATGCTCTTGAAACTTGACAATAAAAAGAATGTAGTAATTCGAAATTTTTAGCTATTAAATCCAATAAAAAGACAACAACATCGCCAATTAATGTTTTTTCTTGTAACCTGTTCCAAAAAAAGTTGCGATTTCAAGGCGAACGTATCTCAAAAAGGTATTTTTAATCCACAAATGCAGAAAAGTATAGTATTTTCTATAGCATTTCATTGATGAGTAGGAACGACAGATATGGCCACCGCCTATTTTCATGGGGGAAACCGCTGAGATTTTTGGCTTCACTTTTTGTTACACAGATGCGCTATCTAGTGTATATGAGATATCTATGTATCGGATAGGTGTTTTTACTCGTCGCTATGGAAAGCTATCTGGTATGGTGTAAACGTAAAAATTGATTTCCTTCAATGTGTTTCATTTAATGAGATAAAAGCGTTCATAGCAATTATTTAGTGCACAAACTAAAAAATAAACGTAATTCTACCTTCAGTTCGGTTGGCTTGGCAACTAAATTCGACATTAAAAGATCTAACGAGACGGCTGCATTCATCAACAAGCAGTGAATCATTAATATTACATGATCGTCGCCCATCACACTTTACTTTAGTCTTTTTTGTCATGTCACGGTCATCAGCACATGGGTTTTGGAAATCACTAACATCGTAGCCAACACATTTAAACAGTTCTTGAACGTCTTGACCAATGTAGGATTTATGTATTTCTAACACGCTTCCATCGTCCGTGCAATATAGAGTGTCTTTTTTCAAATCTAAGCACATGATGTGCTTCTGGCGAACTACAAGGAGTGACGGTTGGAGAAATAAAAATATATGAACTACAGCGAACTACTCTCGCTTTCTATTCCTTCCATCACTTTGTTTATTCTTTCCTCTTCTCTCCTCCCACCCTTCCTTTCATCCTACCTTCCCCCTTCGTTCGTTCGTTCTTTCGTTCGTTCGTTCGTTCGTTCTACTACTCACCCTCGATTCCTTCTTCCCTTTCTCCACCTATTTCACCTCCCTTCCTTTTCTCTACACCTTCCTTCCTCCTATCTTTCTTCCCTCCTTCCTCAGCATCCACCACCATCCTCCATCCCTCCACCCTCCCTCCTTTCTTGCTCCCTCTCTACCTACTCCTCTCCTTCCATTTAATTCTCCTCCCACGCCCCTTCCACCCTTTCCATCCACCCTTCCTTTCCTTCCCTCCCTTCCCCCCTCCCTCTCCGTCCAGTATCTCACCTGGTATTTCACATATAGTAAACAAAAGATAACTGCAGTTCACTCCCAGTATATATTCCTTGCTGAAAACAGGACACAAAAATGATTCTTCCTGACGTGTCATCAATTGCGATGTTTCATGTTTCAAAGTCCCTTTTAGGGTAGTGTTACCATAAGTTGCATTAAGCGAGAGATTAGCATACATGTAGCCATTCTTTTCAAATGTTTCATTACGAGAAACATTACCATGGCTCTCATTAGTCCAAGCCATAGACCCGTAAGAAAACTGGCCAATGTCACCAAGCCAAATTAGTGACATGTTTGTGAAATTTGCAGTTATAAACTTTGCTTCTTGCAGACTATTTATGGTAACCAAGCTTCCACCGAGAGATTTGCATTGGTCAATAGCATCAAACCAGTTTGATCGTTTTTTGACTATTTTATAACAAGAGTTATTGAATGTGGTTCCTCCTTCGCAATCCTTTACTGGATTCCTCCAAATTGGACCTGAATAAAACAATAAAACATCTTACTTTTGTAGAACATTGATGTCAGTTGAGTTAAATCTCCCCTATGTTCTTTATTTATACTGGATATAGCTCTCCAGTTCTGAATTGTCCTTTCTAGAGGATCAGTAAGGTTCATTTCTTATTGATTCAGTCTTACTACAGGAGGAAACTTAATCTGAACTTTGTCTATATTGCATAGATCTATCAGTTCTAAATTGATCCAATGTAATTTCGGGAGAAAACCTGAGTACCGACAAAAAGTTGCGACGTTTAGTAAATTAGAGTCAAACTCGAAGCAATTTTCTCGAACGTGACTGAGTCAACTGAGGTAAAATTATAATCAAACAATTGCATATTACAGAATTAAACCCAGTTACAGTGGTGAAAGAGGCATGCACTTTTACGCTATACTGTGCCACCAAATTCCCATTCAATATGCTTAAAAGAATTTCCCATCCTAAAATCAGTAAATATTTATGTCACCTTTATCTTCGATTTGAACTGGTAATAACCAAATCGTATTATTTGGCACCGAAACATCATGCCCATTTTCGTCCAAACGTACCGACAAATTCACAAGCCATCTGTCATTATTGTGGTTGTTGTTGACAGCGATGGTGTTGCTGTTGTTATTGTTATTGTTGCTGTTATTATTGTTATTATTGACGCTTCTGTTATTTTCATTCAAATGCTCTCCCATTACTGTTCCGAGGACAACAAAGCCCGGCTTGGACTCAACAAGGACTCGTACACCTAGACTTAACTGAGAAATCTTCACAGGTGCATTCTCAATTATTTGGTTGATGTCTTGTTTGTCGTAAAGCTGATGAAATCGTGGCGATGGTTCTTTAAAGAAAACTGCAACAATATCTTCTGTGTATTTTGTTTGAATGCCATGGTAGAACTTCGAGTCAATACGAGCCAAAACTGACCTACCTAAAATACAAAATAAATAATCATTTTCAGATTCAAAAATATTATAGGATTCATGTCAATGTTTCAAATCAGAATAAGGGAAAAATTCCTTTGATGTGGCAGAATTGTGTTTCTAGCAAAATTTCTTTGAATGTCGTTCACCGTTTTGGCCTTTCAGCAGGGCAATATTAATGTATTAAAACTTTAGGATTGTTATATGTTTTTAACTTATTACTTATTTTTATTTCTCAAGGATATATACCAAAGGTTAATTTAATTAAATTTGCAACGTTTCGGGCATTTTAAATGTCCGTCTTCAGGCGACAATTGTTGTCAATGTCGCCTGTCAACAATTGTCGCCTGAAGACGGACATTTAAAATGTCCGAAACGTTGCAAATTTAATTAAATTAACCTTTTGTACATATCCTTGAGAAATAAAAATAAATAATAAGTTATGAACAACAAAGGTGAAAGTTTTAGAAACAAGATTGTTATATGTTGTTTTCAATTGTTTTAAATACCTTCTTTAATGCTTGTGCAAGGTTTAGGCGTAAGATTAAGTTCGTCTATAGCAACCACGCAGCTTGCAGACCCTTCGTTAACAATAGCTTTGAATGATAGCTTTAACACAAAAACATAAGAAAGATTATAGCAACATCTGGACCATTAGTGGCACAAAGCGTGTTCCTTCGTCTCAGGGCTTCAATTCCTGCAATATACAGTTGTCTGATTACAATTTCACCTCAGTCACATGTGAGAAGAATGCTTCCAATTTTACTCTATCAAACACCACAAGTTTTATCCGGCTACCAAGCCCGTAGCTGGCTCTCAATTTCTGGGGGGGGGCACTGCAGAAAGAATGTAACAGAGGGTTTGAGATGAGAAAAAATTTTTTCCGGAATTTACTTTGTCGACCTCCCCCCCCCCGTCGCCAAAAAAATTTCGGTCAGTGTACCATTTTAGGGGTCAAAAATTTTTTCCGGACATACCAATTTTTTCCGGACACACCAAATTTTTCCGAAACCCAACAAAATTTTTCGAAACATCACAAAATTAACCACAAAATTTACAGAATTTGTCCCATGATTACAATTTGTTTCTGGGTCCTTTATCTCAATTTTTAATACCAAATTTCGGAGTGGGGGGGAGGCACTGGGGGACACTGCCCCCCCGAGTGGGGTGGGGGCAATGCCCCCCCAGGCCCTCCCCCAGCTACGGGCCTGGCGGCTACTGCTGTTTCTTCCGGTAGCAGAACTGGAGAAATTAGGACAAGCTCTTACTCGATCATGGACCTCTTGGAAGAAGAGCACAGAACTTATAGAGTTATCTAGTATAAATATTTTGTAGATTTCCTCCTGTTGTAGTATTGGACTCTTCCCGAACCTCTAGGGAAAAAGTTTAGAACTGAAAGAGTTATCCATTATAAATAAAGTTAGTTTTGTTTACTTACAGCATATTCCTGGGATGTCTGTTGTAACGGTATTTCGGTAAATCGCCAATCCTGGTTATTTCGCTGTGTGTTGATAACTGGAATAGACCATTCGTAATTGGCAGACTGTTGACTGACACTGATTGTTGTATTAACACAGAAATGGTTTGTATGTCGATGCCAGAATGACAGACATTGATAAGCAATAGTTGTTCGATTAGAAACTGTTTTTGTAAGCGAGAATGGTGCTTCGGTATAAATAAATGAGCCTAGGGAAATAAAAGAAGACATTCATAAACTATAGAGCTGCGCTGTCTTGTAACTAACTTTAGGGAGCTTAAGCATGTAGGACGGCAACACGACGGCGACGGCAACCAATACAATGAGTCAATCAATGAAAAGAAATAAATAATTAAAGTCCCAGGGGAGTTTCCGACGTAGTCGTCGCTCTGTTTACAACGGCAAATCACAGACTTTCACGTCTTTTATGCAACGCCTGCATTTCAAGCCGTAATAAGTGCACTTCAAATTCGGTTAATTAGAACTCTTCCCGAGCATAAAACCAATGTTTTAATCTTCCTATACTGTGTTAAACACATACGAATTAGAATATACGACAAGTTTTCTTTACTATAATTTATTTGAAGGAATTTTTTTTGGCCGTCGTCGCCGCGTTGCCGTCCTACATGCTTAAGCTCGCTTTTATCCCCGAGCCGACGGTGCGAAGCGCCGTGCGAGGGTACTAATTCCCCCCCGGCTATTTACACCCGGGGAAACGAAAGCATTAGCCAAGTCTAAAGTTCATCAATGAGCGCGGGCGTGGGTTACCGTGAGTGGTTCGGTGGTTTGGTGGGTGGTCATCCTCACTGATCTCAAAAATATGGCGGACTGTCATGAATAGCGGACACTGATTGGTCCAATTTAAAGTTTGCATTATATAACGACTGTAGTTTGCATTATAACGATTTGAAATCATTTTATTGCAAACTCAAAGTTTATCGATAAAGCCATTTTAATAATTAAAGGCAGTTCGAGAGGCAGTTTTAATAATAAAACGTTTTGCGAAGCTTTTGTGGTTGAATTTTACCTTAAATTGAAGCTTATATTACGTATAATAACATACCTAACATATATATGTTAGGAAATTGATAATTTTGTAATTAAAAGTGATATTTTTAGGCGATTTTTCATTTGTAAGAATATTCTTAAAAAATTATCGTGTTACCATGACAACAACTTTGGATACTTCATGTTCGGAAAATACAATGGTTTTGTCAGCAAGGCGAAGGGCTTCTGCATGCATGCATGTATTTTTTAGTTTATACTGTATAGCTCTATCAGTTCAGTCTAAACTGTTCTTTTTATTGAGGTTCAAATAGTGTCATGTAAGTTTTACCTTCAAAAAATGATGAGCTATCAACATTATGAAAATGTTTCTTCCATGATTCCACCCCTTTCCAAGAACATGGCTCATCAAAAGAACAAGTCCATATATCCTCTAAATAATAACAGTTTAGGCTTGTTAAATCCATATATATAACTGTGATTCACTAAGCACTGTTGTGCAGCAGATGGTGGTGAACCTGCAGTTATCGGAACGAGAACATAATGTTAATCTTGAATCTTTCTGTGTTAGTGTTGTTACGCTGAGTGTATTCCACACCGGGCAAGCTTGAAAAATATGCCTGACCACGGTGGGATTCGAACCTACGACCTTTGGAATACTAGGCCAATGCTCTGCCAACTGAGCTACACGGTCAGGTCGGTTCGAGTATGTGATATTTCGGAACCGAATCTAGTTCCTTCGATATCAATGTAATCTTTTCATTATATGAACCGTAGTAGTCTTGTAATTGGTAGCAAATAAATAGAATTGAGAGCATTTCTGAAATTGACCACCATCTGATGCCCTGTAACGCTTACAGTAAGTATAACGCTTACGGCTTACTATAAGCCTAGCAATAAACTCGTAAATTTAACCAACCATCGTTATCCTCGTCTAAACAAGGTCCTCTCACGACTTGAATGTCATCGACAGCAACATCTCCAAGTGGGCCTGACCCTACACCAGCCTCCAGAATTATCTGCACGAAAATATGAACATTTTTTTACCATCAACAGAGTAAATAATGCATACACCTTCCACCTCAAGCGGATTTTCAGTTTCTTCAACAGACACTCAAGGTTTTCACCGGTTTCTTCCTGTGATAATACTGGATCAATAAGAGATGACTCTTACTGGACCACTATAGGAAGAACAGTTTAGAACTGATATAGTTATCTAGTATAAATAAAGTTAGTTTATTTTAGGTTTCCTCCTTTGGTAATATAACGCTGGATCAATAAGAGATGATTCTTACTGGACCTCTAGGAATAATAGCATAGAACTCATTGAGCTATCCAGTATAAATAAAATTAGTTTAGTTTAGGTTTTCTCCTTTACAGTTGAAAATGATATAAAAAATGTCGGTGTTTGGCTTCGTACCATAAATTCGTTTTCGTCGTGAACAGTTACCAAAGCTTTATGCCAATACATATTGACTTCTCCATCTTTCCTCCATATAATCCATCCTAGTGTTTTATTAGTGACCGATGCTTTATACACAGCTAGGTGACCAATATCTTTCCCGGACATGTGGTAGAAAAACTGTAAACACACAGTCTGGTCAGGATTGAAGGGACCACCAAGGAGGCGAGCTGTATCACCTGGACTTCGTGGAGAACTGGACTCGATATATATGTAAATGCCTAAAAAAATTAAGAGAATAATCTGTTAATGGGATTTTAGTAATCGTTCAAGCTCTGCAGGTGATAGTTCATTTCAGAAATGTTGACACTTGTAAGGACAATGAATTGACGCAGTCTAATAATAAATTAGACATAACAAAGAGAAATTTTCATAAATTTAATTATTTACAGAACTAACGCTTGTACTTAAGACATCTTCAGAGTAAAGAATGATATAAAATTACAAAGTTGTATATTCATGAATAAATTACAATTAATTACAGAGCATAGAATTACAAGTACAATCTAAGGAAGAAAGGGTGCGGAAGTACATAGGGTATAGAAAAGGGATTGGAGTAGAAGAAGGGGGACTGAACTGCCTTGTACGTTACCCTATCAAAAGGGGATTGTAGTAGAAGAAGGGGGAATACGAATGAACTGCCTTGTATGTCCCTCTTTCTATACCCTATGTACTTCTGCTTCCTTTCTTCCTTAGATTATACTTGTAATTCTAAACTCTGTAATTTTTCATGCATATATAACTTTGTAATTTTATATCATTTTTTACTCTGAAGATGTCTTAGTGTAAGACGAAACGTTAGTTCTGTAAGTAATTAAATTTATGAAAATTTCTCATTGTTATGGCTATTATTATACGCACATTATGCTGGGCATTGATATTTATTATTAGATTACGATTCATCCCTCGCAACGGGTTCTTCCCTCGCAACTATTCTGAAATGACGCTGGGAGCAGAGGAGTCGAGTTTCGGAGTTTGTCTAGTAAAACCAGACAAACACCGTTTGTTGTATATTTTATTTGTAATATATTTCATTGTAGAATCCATAAATCCAATGTGTGCATTAGAAATGCATATTTTATTCATCAAAATGATCGAATATAAACCAAACTATTTACCAAAATATGAATTTCAATATCAATTTGCTTCGCTGCTTTGCATTACCGTGGACTCGTATTTTCCGAAAAGCCAACAAAAACTGGCCGAGAAGGCAACGAATAAGAAACGAAGAAAGGGAGGAAACACTGCAGATGTTTTGTCGCATGTTCAGCGCAACGCCCTATGGCGAAAGTGAACAAAACCAGAAGACGCATTGACCTATGACCTATAATCTCATTTGACAGTTGTAATTATTTATCGAATATTGAATTTCAAATTCACGCAAGCTATAAACAACTCTTAATGTAAAATATTATTTGAAAATGTAAAATATTGTTTGAAAATGTAAAATATTATTTGAAACAAAAATGAATTTAATTTAAAATGACTTGCGATGAATATCGTTGAAGTCAAGGATTAGCACTGATGAAGATCCGGGCTTACGGATCGAAAACTTTGCAGTAATAAATTTACGTGATGTTTCCACAAACAAAATTATTATATGTTTTATCGCCATGCAAACATACAAAGAACTTATTAGAGACAAAATTCTTTGTCTCTGTCCTTGTTAAATACAAAGACAAACATTTTTGTATTTAACTTCGCCCGCGGAGACATTTCGAAAGTGGAGGGCATTGGCCAAAAGGGGCACTTTTGTATGTGACGAGAATCAAACAATTTTATGTCATTCACGAGCCGAACAAAAAATGTTATATGGAGTTTCTATAACGTCGGAAATGGCCTTTACAGAGTCTTTACTACTGGAAAAAGGGCACTTTTTTCCAGCAAAAGAGGACGTTTTTTCGGGAAATACTTTCTTCGTGCTGTAAATGGGGCACTTTAGCCCAGAAAAAGGGCACTTTTTTACTTTTAAAAAAAGTTGGGGACGCGGGCACATGCCCCCATTGGCCCCCGGTTTCGCGCCTCCTGTTCATTCAGCAATCCTCAGTACATTTAACCGTTTACCAATCGTCTTATTTTGTTCATATATTTTTATGGAATTTTCATATTAGTCTTGATGTTGGTTTTTCATAATCGAAACAATTCAAATTTGGATCAATCATGCATCAGCACGAAACAATACGTCACTTAATTCCGCCAAAGGGTGCTTCGGTGCATATCGTACGAAATTAATCGATGAATATCGGTCGTCATTCTAAGTTAAACGAGTAAGAACAGATAATTTCCAGATTGTATACAAAAAATTATGTTCTTTTATAAAATATTGAGCAAGTTACAGCTATCCTAAGATATTACTCCAATTACTGTTTCCTCCCTTTCTTTGTTTCCCATGTATTGTAGTGATTGTCAGCCTAAATTTAGCAAAATGTGAGCCCACAATAATCTACAACAGCGGAGCATATTCCATTGGTGTTCATGTTACATGAAGTACGGGTATACAATGTTATGGTTTCACGACAATTTCAACAGACCATAAATTATAAAATATGCATTTTTAGTGCACAATTGGACTTTTATGGATTCTACAATGACATATGTTACAATTAACGAGGTATGGCGGTGTTTGTCTTGTTTTACCAGACAAACTCAACTCCTCTGCTCCCTGTGGAAATGAGATGAAATTAACTGAACTACTGTAATATTAAAGGGCTAACCTTTACTAGGGAGAACAGTGTAGAACTGATAGAGCTATCCAGTATTAATAAATTTGCTAGTTTAGTTTAGTTTAGTAAAGTTTAGCTTGGGCTAAAGCCTGAATGGTGACGTTATATATAAAATACCATAATTAACTACCTCTTGAAGATGTAGTGGTATGATCGACTTCCGGTCCAGTGCCTTCTGAAGGAGTCGCTCCCTGATTGGCTATCCAATCAAATGTGTCACCTGAACCTACATTGCTCCAACCACACCAGTTATTGTCAAAGTCACATTCTGTGAGGAAATATTGAACAAGCAATGTCAAGCATCACGAATTTAACGGTCCATCTGTGTTAACACAATCTAGAATAACGGCTATCTACTGTAGCTAGAATAACGTGATCTATATTGGCATAATGGTTTTACGAATAACGATCATGCCTGATATTTCCTGATAGTTTATCGAATGCTGTATTGATACACATGCATGTATTCCCTGGCGTTACATGTTGTATTTTTCGTGGTTGCCGAATATGTCAACTTAGATGCAACAACAAATGCCGCTTCTAAACAAATATGTCATGTTGCTTACTTTGATAGTAACTGCAGTCGTTTCCATTTATTTGTTCGTACAGACATCCAGGATTATTCAAACTGCATGTCTTGTTCGCTAAGATTGAAATTAATTAAACAATAAATCTAACCAACTTACATTTTCAGATATCTCACTTGCCTAGTTATCACGGTTCTGATCATGTAAACATAGAAATTAAACAAAGCTAACCAAATATTTCAATTATATATGTGAGTGAGTTGACTCACATGACTAGTTACCATTGTTTTGATAATGTAAGCATAAGAATGGAACAAAGGTAATTATATACGTTAGTGAATTTCGTGACAACGGGTATAAATACGGTGATATTAGGTCTATTACTATCTAACTATATTTCGATTATCATTGAAACAGGTTGCACACCAGTCAGTCCGGATTTTGACGGTTTACAAACGTTGGGTTCATCAGAACCATCCACGCAATCCCATATATCATTGCAAGTAGAGTCCCATGACACACACTTTCCACTTGGGCAATAAAACTCCTCTCTTGCGCAGAAATCTAATTGGAAAATTAATAAACTATTTAATAAGAATAAAGTTAGTTCTATTTGGGGAAGGCCTTTACTGAATCTCTAGGGAGAACAGTTTAGAACTGATAGAGCTATTCAGTATAAATAAAGTTATACTAGTTTAGTAGTTTAGGTTTCTTTCTGTAGTAATACTGGACAGTGCTGTACAACTAAATTTACCAGAGGGGGGCTCTCTTGACGAGGGTGAAGCAGTGAAATCGTAAAAAAATGTGTGACGTCATCGTATGACGTCATAGATGTTCACAACTAATGACTGAGATGACTCATAGTTAGTCATAGATTATAACTCATATCAAGTCTCATACTTCACAACCACCAGTTAAATAGGACCTTAATGCCGACAATATAGACACACACATACCGATATACGTGACGCTAGGGGTCGGCGGATTAAAAAATTAAAGACTGCGAGGAAATGAGTCCGCATGATTTTCAAAAGAGTAACGATAACATTATGTATACTATTAGTTTACTACTAGACTACTAGCATTCTAACACAGTAATACTAACTTATAAAAATAACGCAATTAATCATTATCCACCCCTAATAGGCAATAGCAATAATAAATTGTTATGTCTTATTTCTTCATTATCAATCGATGAAACCTAGGTTTAATGTCAGTAAGTATTAACCTAAGTCATTCCGTTTGGAAAATACAGAGCATGAATGCATAATTATATCAAACATTGAAACAAGATAAGGTATTGATTTATTAAGGATGCCATTTTAGTAATTTTGATTCTACTTCATGAACAAGTGACAAGTTTTGTTTAATAGTGTTCTTAATAAATTATCGAAGGAGGGCTCAGCCCCCCCCCGAGCTTGAAGAAGGGGCTCCGCCCCCAAGCGCCCCCCCCATTTCTACAGCACTGATGTTGGAGCAACAAGAGAGAACTCTTACTGGACCTTTAGGAACAACAGTTTAGAACTGATAGAGCTATCCAGCTAATTATGTAACCCACTTACTGCAATTCCTTTCATCAGAGCCATCAGGACAGTGGTGCATTCCATCGCACGCATTGCTTAATGCAATACATTCTTTGCTTGACACACAACTAAACTCTCCAAGAATACAGTCACAATCCATTTCATCGCTGCCATCTGAGCAGTGAGTTTCTCTATCACATCGTTGGCTGGACTTCAAACATTCACGGTTCAGACAACTGAATTGGCTAGCAGTACATGAATGACCTATAAAATAAAACATGCCAAAACAACTCGTGACTGAATGGCATGGAGAACAGTGGGATTTTTGGAACAATGAAAAGATTATGGAACATTCCAATCAGTGGACCATATTATAGAGACGGCATATAAAACATACATACCAATTTGAGCGTAGTAAGGATTAATCTTGCTTGAACAATTCTCTGTTGTGATTTTCACATCCGATATCAATACAGTTTCATTTGTCTTGAATGAAGTTACTTCGAAAACAAACTAAAACAACAAACTTTGAATAATTATGTAGAACCGGAATTGCAGGGCCGCAGCTTTGATTCTTACCACCTACAGTTACATTTTTCGCAACTGCTCCTGGTTAGGTCTGAATTAATTAAAATACCACTCACAATTTCCATTTACAAAACTATTCTTCGAACAACATACTTTGAACATTTCGTCAATAGACAAGTGCACCCACGCCGTGTTCCATTTTCTGCCATGAACACCAAACAAGCTCCACACTTCGTAGCGAGTGCCTGATGCTGATTGTGTAGAGAGAGAAAGCTTTGTTTCCCATGAATTGGACATTTTGTAGTTAAACATGACACATAACCCTGTGACACTTGTGACAGTGGTGTTCTGCACCCAGCCAAACGAGAACAAAGACGTGGAATTATGTGGAGAACTTTCAAAACCAGAATCTAGAAAAATATTTAACATCAAATAACAATCATTAATAAAATTAGCAAAAATGATGCAGTGTAAATCGGCCTTTACCTTACCTGAAACGTCTTGAGAAATATTTGCTCTAGTCCATCCTTCATCAGTCACAGTACCACTAAAACTACCACCACACATTTTATCACCAAATAAACAATGTACCACAACAACAGCTGTGAAGGAAACATAATCGAATTTTGTCAGTTATATATCAAAAAGGGATATATAAAGCACTTTTCCGTGAAAATGTTTTAGTAGGAGAGAACTCCACCAAACCCCTACCCCCGGAAAATTCTTGAATTATTGATGTTGTCTCTATACGAAATAACATTTCTTGCATTCAAACAGCACTTTTGAGCAAAAAGCGTCGTACAGATTGTGGTGAACTTCAGGATCGTCAAAACTTATATAAGAGAGTACAAGATTGCTACAACTATGAACAACTTCTTCACTTACGATTCACGCGCACTCCACCAACGATCAATAACTCCGATTCAGGAAAAACGTCATGGCTAGTCAGCCCCATAATTTCTGCACAGTTTCCTTTTCTACGATAGCTCATCTAGGAAAATATACAGGGTGTATAAAAAAAGGAGACCTTTAGAAATCAAGCATATTGTTAAAATTTGAATGCCTTTTCAATTGCACATATGCTGAACCGTTCAATTTCTAAAGGTCTCCGTTTTCTAATATATGCACCCCATCAATATTTCACGCACTACGGTTCAGCATATGTGCAATTGAAAAGGTATTCCAATTTAAACAATATGCTTGAATTCTAAAGGTCTCCTTTCCTTTTTTTTATACACCCTGTACTGTATAGTGCTAAACAAAGAACTTTTTTCACAGGTGCTAATGGCATAGACATTATAATAAGAACAGATTAGACTGATTTAGTTTAAAGTTAGTTAACATGAAGTAGGAAATTTTTCACATGCACCTTAACTTCGTAGTACCCTGGATGGAGAACCCAGTCAGTCAGCTCTATTTTGATTGTACCAGTATTTAGAGCAGTCTGATTGGCCAGCAGTTTACACTGAATATAATTGGCAAAAATCATGAAGATAGCAAGAGGACAGTAACCACAATAAAATCCAAGACAACGGGTTTGGAATCCACCTACATGTATCAGAAAACAATATGGAAATAAGTTTATTGCCTCATTTATATTGAGCCAAGTACGTCCAAACAGGTTTCTCAAGATGCTCTTTAGTTTTTACTTATTTAAATAACTCTTAAACCTGGTTCACATACAGCTATTTCAATTAAGGTTGTCCCCCGAGCAAAGCGGAAAAGTCGAATATGAGCGTGAAAGCCTGCTGGGAATCGCTAATAAATGAATGAATTTATTAGCGATTCCCAGCAGCCTTTCGCGCTCGTATTCGACTTTTCCGCTTTGCTCGGCCGGACAACCTTAATTGAAATAGCTGTATACCGGCGGTATGTCGGCGGGCTATTGTCGTTAGCAGTTCAACCAAATAATTCACAGAAGAATGTATGAATCAACAGCTGTATATAAACAATGATAGCGCAGGCATACCGCAGGCATATGTGAACCAGGCTTTACTGGACTTCTAGGAAGAACAGCTTAGAACGGATAAAGCTATTCAGCACAAGTTTATGGTTCAGTTTCACTTTATCGATTAAATCTCAAACCTGTAATTATAGTTGAAGCACTAACGGTGGTCTGAAGTACACCCTGATTTTCAAAGGTGAGATCCACTTGTAATTCTCCTGAAAAGACAATGAAACATTCCGATCACCATGTCGTAACCGGATGGCACTATTGTTATACCAAGTTTAACCCAAAAGGTCATTTTACAGGTACCTGGCAAAATCCAAAAGAGACTCTCCTCAAAATTTGTTTGTTGGGAAGACGTATTATAAAGAACAGCAGTCAGCGATAGTCCACTTTCACCAAGGTTTTCAACCGTTGCTTTCATAAAGTACGGTACACACGCTTCAAAAAATACATTTTGCAAGACGTTCTTGGTTTGACTAAAATAATTTAAAAAAGAAGTATAAACTAAATTTGTTTGTATTGGATAGCTGTATCAGTTCATACAACAACCCCTCGCGGCCTCGCCAATATTTTCCAGACATTGTTTCAACATGAAGTATTCGTAATTATGCTGACACTCAACGCAGGCTCGCGTTGCTTACGTCATGTTATTCATGGCAACACGATATTACGATAATTGTTTTTTTGTAATTTTTTGTACAAACCTGCAAAAATAGATGAAACTTGAACACTTTTAAATACAGAACTATCAATTTATAAAATAGATAAAGTAGGTATATTATTTTGTTTGCTATGGGCTTTATTTTAATGTAAAATTCAAACGAAACTCTACATAAAACCTTTTTAAATGTGAATTGCAATTAACTGCTTTTTGCCGATTACTCGCACTTTGAAATGAAATAAATTTAATTCGTACAGGACGCTAATGAAAATAATTTGCTTTCCTTTTTATCATGAACTTCTACAAAAGTTAATTTATGCCTTCCTTCTGAACTAGCGAATATTAAAGATTAATTAAAGACAGTATTTTCCTGGCATTTAGACTTGAGTGTTGCATTTCCTGCGCTCTGTTTGCTGGGCAAAGTATTAATAATGGACACAAAACAAGACATTCAACACGTAGTTGGGTTTATCTGGCTGGGCGTTAACGATCCCCCCCAGCCGCTTTATTAATATTTAACTTTCAAAGATTAGGATTCATATAATATATCGCATTAAAATGTTCTTAAACAGTTCTGCCCAGGAAAGGTGAGGGCAAAATTACGCCATTACTTACAAAATAGGCAATAAACATTAACAATAATGACAGATGCAGACATGGGGAGGAGGTGGGTGATTAATAAATTTTGTTATTATATACACAAGGTCTGGATATGAGGTATTCTGCAATCTGATTGGTTCTCTACTAGCAGGATATTAGCTCATATCCTGCTAGTAGAGAAAAACAAAATGGCGGCCAAACTGAATTTACGATGTTTTGCAAACGAGAAAACGGCAAGTTGTCGCTTTTTATAACCTTTACAGGATTAAAAACACAACGAAAAAACTCCCACAATTTGTTTTCAGGTTAGCAAATAAATTTTTAAAATTTAAATCAGCCGAAAGAGCGAAGATAAAAACATAAACAAAATAGAAAAATATTGAAAATATCCGAAAAGCAAAGTCTGTGAATTCAGACCTTGTGTATATAATAAAACAGTTATTCCACTCACTCTCGTCGAATATGAGCGATAGCCGATTCGGCGCTACGCGCCTCATCGTCTATCAGCTCATATTCGACTCGAGTTCGTAGAATAACTGTTAAATATCTTCACAAGGTGGTGTTCATTTGGCTGTATAGACTGAATGCGACTGATGTGAACCGCATGAAAGTATGTACTATAAATGACCCCCTTTTCAGCCATCTGCTTGATCATTCCGCACCCTAGGGACATTCTCGCCATTTCCTTCGTATGACAATTCTTATCTTACCACCACCTGCTTATCAATTATAACTAGGAGTTACTATCGCAAGGAAAATGCTGCCGATATGTACATGTAGGATGTGCTACAAAAAGAGCGTTTTTCACTGTATGTATGATTTATTGTCTTACACATCGTCGTTCCTCAGTTACCTTCGTACAATTATATCTTACATCTAATCTTATGAAAAGTATATTTTAATATACTTAACAGTGCGACTTTGATAGTTGACACATAATATAAATGATAAAATGTGAATATTATTGAATGATTTTGTCACTCGTACAACTTTTAATTTGGCTATTCAAACAATTGATTTAAAATAGTTGAATTTATACTTACTGGGATGTTATTGCTTATTGGGATGTTGAAATTATGTTCGTTTTAAATACATTTAATTGATATTCCATAAATTCATTTTGTATGATTTCATTGACCTTGACGTTGTTCAAAATCATTTTGTATTGTATTGAAACTGTATGTCTATGACCTATGTTATGTACTATATTAACCAATTGAGTCGCATTGCACCCTGATGCACCCTACTTTGAACAGTATTTTACTCTGTCTAACGCCAGACGATTTTACTCGTCAAGGGGAGAGTCCTGGCGCTTAATGGGTTAACGGATCTATCTGCCCATGTGTCTAGTTAACCCATTGGGTCGCATTGCACCCTGATGCACCCTACTTTGAACAGTATTTTACTCTGTCTAACGCCAGACGATTTTACTCATCAAGGGGAGAGTGCTGGCGCTTAATGGGTTAACTGATCTATCTGCCCATGTGTCTAGTTAACCC